ATTAGCATATTACCCTTTTATTAGTGTAGATTCCTAAAAAACAAGTGTTGGCCATAATTATTTTTTTAAAAACTAGAATAGAAATGGGAGGAGGAATTTCAGAAATAGAAAAAAAGAGAGGTGGACTTTTCCTCAATATTAAATTTATATAAAACTTCATACTTGTATACCTAAAATGATTCTAGAGTTATTTCATACCACCATCATCCCCATTTCCTTGAGAACTGCAAGTGAATCCTAGTTTCCATAGCCCCTAAAGAAAAAAGTACCTCCAGGTGATTTCTCTCTTAGAACAACTTCATCCAAAAGGAAAGCCTGAGATATACTAGCATATATGTAAAAACATATTCAATACAGTACTCTTTGGATTACAACTAAAATACCCAGAAACTTGAACACCTATCAAGAAAGGACTGGTAAGACAAATTACAGCACATCTGAAATGGCATGTCATGAGGAGTATCATGCAGCCATCAAATAAAAGGAGGTAGATCATTGCTATGTGTTCATGAATGTGTATGACAGGAAAACGTGTCCCCTCTGCCCTTCTACGTTCTTTGGCTGATCTAATAATTAAATTGACATAAGACATTAATAAGAGGAAAGAGCTCTCTCTGCTAATAGCTTTCTTCCTATAGGCCCCTTGTCTAAATTATGTCAGGCAATTAAGGGAGAGGTAAGAAGCTCTTCTTGAGTCTGCTGGGTCTCAATTGTCTTCAGCTCAAAATAACCTGCATACCAAAGTGTATATTCTGAAACAGACTGCCCTGAACCCCATTGCAGACACTCCAAGAGCTCTAGGACATGTGGTTAAAAGAAAAAAAGCAAGGCACCGAATAGGAGTCATTCCTATTGAACAGAATAAAGGCAAAGAGTCCATATATTTGCAGATATATATATATAGATAGATAGATAGATAGATAGATAGATAGATAGATATAGATATAGATATAGATATATATAGATGTATAGATATGTATAGATATATATAACGATATATCGCTGGCTGGCTGGTTACCCCTGGGAAAACAAAACAGAGGATTATTGAAGGAGGAAGATTTACTTTTTATTAGTCCTGTATAGCTTAAATTTTTCACAACTTGTGTATGTGTATTTATTTTTACTCATCCACATGCACACTTTTAAAACAAAAGCTATCTAGAGGAAGTACAGGCAAAAGCAAACAGAAAAGGCAAAGCCTGGCTCACTCTCCCTGCCCGACTCACAGCTTCCTGGGCCAGGACCGAGCAGACCCAGGCTGGTGTGGCCTGGTTCCAGCTTCAGTGATTCTCAGTCTGGGAGGCACTGTGCTTTCTTGCAAGAGGAGGGACATCAATGACTGGAGATGATTCAAGAGTGCACCCCTATATCCAAAATGCAGAACCTCCCCCCAACATTTTTTAGACTTTTACCTTCATGAATTGTACTTTTTATTAAGACCTACCTCACAGTTTCTATTTCCTTTTCCCCACAAACTTTTAAGAGGTCATCTCTACCTACATTCCCCACGTCCAAAATAATTTGCATATATTGCAATGATTGAGGTCAGGTAAAATGTTTGTGAAAAACTTCTCCACATTGAGTACCAAACCACCTTGACAACAGGTGTTCTTGACAATAAACTCTGAGGAAACAGCTTGTTGACTACTGGCCCAGCTGGCCAATTACACAGTGAAGAGTTCTTCTGATGGAAAACGTTAATCATTAGCCCACAACAATTTGGGAAGCATTTCCAGTATTCAGAGATCCCTTTAAATGAAAGCAGACCAATGTGTAAGCCAATCCATACCCAGGAGCCAAGAGAAATAAAGGAGTGAATGTTTTATTCTTTAGTGTTTAATAGAATATATAACAAGTCACATAATCAATGATTCATTACTCACACACTGGGAGGAAAACAGTATTGAGTATTTCTGTTATACAACTGGTTGTGAACAGGGAGAACAAAAATCTCTAGAGCATTTAGATAGTTGAAGAAATTCTCACTTAAACTTTGGGCATGTCTACAAAGACTTCATCAGTGCCTTTCTAAAAATATAGAGGGATATTTTTCTTGGCTTTCCGTTTTGTTAGAAAAGCCTAGTAATCATATAATCAATTTTTCCCTTTCCCCTTCTCTTTTGAGAAAATGGCTCTATGATATATAAGACAACATTTTTAACAATTTAATAATTCCAGATAGCTCTGTGGGAATCTTACATTGTTTAGTAGATAAGTTTTTCAGATGCCTGGAAATAATACATAATTTACATCTTTAAAATTAACATCCATGATGAATGTTTTAACCTTTTATCATTAAATGTCACTAATGCTGCTTGTGTGGTCATAAATGAATTGTCATCAGTTATTTTCAATAGTAATAGCAAAATCTGCCTGCCTATAAAGTCACAAAGACAGTTGTATAATAGTTTACATTACAATTAATGTTTACACACGTCAAAATACATGTAAAATTAAAAACTTGGCTTGGGGCGGGGGGAATCACAAAATGTATAAGGTAACAAGAATTCTTAGTCAACTAGAGTCCATCTTCCTACCACACAAAATGATACTGTAACGCAGATATTCTGGTTGAATTTCTTCCAAGTTTCAAGGGCCCCAGTAGAAAAATCTCGATCTTCAAACTTTAATACTCTTAGATTTTTATTATCCAAACTTGTGACAAAGTAAAGTTAACTTCAACATAACTTGTTTCTGGTTCTAGGAAACCCCATTTCAGGTAGTACAGCCAGTGGAAACACAAGAGTATTTTATTTATTTCTCAAGAGACAGATTAGTCATCTAAGAAAACTAATTGAGTTTTTAAATGACTTACAGTAAGAAAAAAAAAAAAGAGAGAGAATTCCAAAGGGTTTACTTTGGTAGGTTTATAATACAAATATTCAGTTTACTATTTTAGAAATTTAAGTCAACTGAGAAAAGTATTTATGATTTAAACTGTAAAAGAAATTCTTAAGGAATTCAACCCCTCCAGTCAACGCTTTCTAAATGCTGCAGTATAATTTAGCATTTTTCATGTGGAATACAAAAATGTTTGAATCTTAGGTTAGAATTTACCATAATTTAAAAAGTAAGAAGTTATCAAAGCTTCACCTTACATGGCTTCAATACAATAACAACATTCCATAGAAAATTCCAATGAAAATTGGAATATGTTATGAGCATGGCCAGTTGCCTATTTTGTCTGAGAATTCACAGATTAGGCATTTCCTCAGAGAAGAAATAGGCCCCATATATATGGTTCTGGATTGAAAGAGAAGACAATTTTGGCTTGTATTGTAAATTATCACTTTGTGATCAATACAAAAAGCCAAATACAAACACAAGAACAAAAACAGTACTGAAGAGGAAATTTAAAAAAAAAACATTAAGTCTCACATCTTCAAGGAATATTTTCCACAACATATAACTTGAAAAATTAGAGTGAATTGGTTCATATTCTACATGTATTAAAAAACAGACAACTTGTTAAACACTAGGCGCAAAAGCATTAAACATGGTACCTGTTTTTTTAACCACCACTGTCAACATGTATTCTTTTTTAAAAAATTTAATTTGTTATTAAAATCTAATGTCACTCAGTTGTATTTATGAGTCAAATGGCCATTAAAGCCATTACATATGTAAATGCATGTACAGTGAATCAGGATAATGCAGTCATAATTACCTAAATAATTTATGACATTCTCCCAAGTTATTTGAGTGGTGTCTTCACAGGGTTTATTCAAATCTCAATATTCCATCTAAGCTCACAGGTGACAACCAACAAACACTGCAGCCACTTTGTAGTCCTCTGCCCCAAAGCACATGGAGGGAAGGGCCCAAAAGTGCCCCTGTCAAGTCATCCTTACCTGTTATACTCTCTACCGAATGTAAAATGAGTTTCTTACCCAGCCTTTATTTTGGGCTAAAAGTAGAATGCTCTCTGGTATCCACTCCCAACTTTAGAGGGGACAGTCATTCCTTGAAAAAGAAGTCACTGTACTGTTTCTAACCATTACATTCCCAGTCTTTCATATAATGAAATGGGGGAGGGGAGCATTACAGGGCAGCAAGGATGGGGGCACAGTAAAATTGGTCTGGAATAGTTCAACTCAAAGTTTTACAAGATAAAACTTATGACTTACGTGGCAGAGACAAAACTTTAGCGGTTTCCCATCACTCCTGGAGTTGTGCAGATTTAACAAGGAAAAATCAGAACCTCAGAGTCTTGCCATATGTCGGTGGTTTTATCTGGCCCTCTAAGATGTTCTCAATTATGTGATTTTTGTTGAGTAATCTAACAGAATACCATATGGGCAAAGAAGTCTCTGTGACACTCATATTTGGCCAGAGAGCAACATTCCTAAATCATTTCAGGCTTGAAACAGATAAGTTCTGATGCATTACCTAGTCTGAGATCACACTCAACAGGGAAGCAAACACGGCTTCCTGGCTGTCTACCTCCACTTCCCTTAGGATTACTGTCTCTGTATATAAAGCCAACTTCACCTTTCTAAAAATTCAACCACAATAAAAGACCTCAAAACTATCTCTATCGCAACTAAAAAAAAAAAAAGAATCAATGGATTAAAAATACAGGTACCTTGATTTAAGTAAACAGCTAATCGACATATTAGTATACAACTAATATCCAAGCAAAACAATATGGAGCAAACTCAGTTTTATAATTATGAATTTTTTCCTAACCCAATTTCTTCATTGATAAGGACATAAGAAACTCATCAAAACCTGTTGCTTAGTATAAAACCATCTGATGCAAGTTACTGGGGGCAAATACAGGAAATATTACAGCATTAGTGAATGAATTAAAAAACTAAATGATTTGTGTAAAATGTTTATATATGGTATATACATATTGGATCACATGAGTCTAAGAATAAAACAGTTCCAATTCTTAACATCTGTTATGGACCTAGTAAGATACAGTACAAGATTCATTTTTAAAAAGAAGGAAAAATAGCGCTAATTTGAACAGTGAAAAGAGACTCTTACAAAATCTTAAAAAACATACTCCAGAGAAAAATGCTGAAATAAATGAAAAAAGAAAGGCTTCTCAGTCATCACAGAATACTCAAAGGAGCCTCACAGCATGGAAGATAAGGATTCACTTCCTTTCACGTATGGTATAGACGGGATATGCAGTGGGAATTTATTCCACGTTAGAGAAAAGGTGTAAGGCAACCAGGTCTCCTTCTGTTTCCGTTGCGTTTACCCAAAACACCATTTTATGGCTCAGCTCACTTTTAACTGCTTGTCTTCATTTTAAAACATTCCCTTTTACAGCTCTCTACAGATGGGCAGTCCTTGGTGTTTCTATTTCTCTGCAGCTCTGTCACTCACAAAGATTCCACCTTCACTTCAAATAATCCACATACAAGAAGTGGCATTTCCTAATTTTCAGGTTTGCCCAGAAGTCAACAATGACTGGGCTTGGGAAAAGTAAGGGTTTTTCATAAGAGATCTTAAGTCTAAGTAATCAAAATCAAACACATTTTGTTTGCTCAATAAGATTTTTTTTTAATTCAGGATGTATTATCAACCAGAAAATAAAGTTCAGTAACATAAACCCTACTGGGTAACTCTTTGGTTAGGTTATATAAGTATTAGCAACTTCTAAGTTTAGGACTCAAAACAGTTCAATCAACTGCCAGTGAAGAGTAGATGCTATTCATCTTTATAAAATGCTTTGTGTGTTCTTGTGTACTTTTTTTTCTTAATGTGCATGTACTCAAACGGATGGTACACACTTCCAACTTCCAAATAATAAATGAGTATGTCTGTTCCACCCTTCCCATCCCTCCTTCTCTCCTTCCTCCCTCCCCACCCCACCCCCCAAGTCTTAAGAGCTACTGCCATTCACTGCAAGAATACTTGGGCTTTCCTAATCCCCAGGACGTGCATTACTACCCAGCTCCATTGAGTACTGCCGGGGTGACTCCCCCAAAGAGCTTGAGGACTCCGGCTGTCCTGCCCCTGTCAGCTGCAGGACTCTTTCTCCCTCTTGCCAAGAACTGCTGCCATGTCCACCCGTCCAACCACAGGCTTCCTGCAGTGAGCGCAGGAAAAAGGGTGCCTCCTCAGGCTGGAAGTCACGTTCTCCGAGTAACAAGTTTAAGCCACAGGCGAAGGCCTTTATTTCTGCGTGGAGAAGATATGATCCTTCACTGTGCCTGCACTAGATTCTTCTCCTACATCTATCTGTAACTTTTCGAAACTTTATTCATTTACAGTCACTGAACTGCCTTCAGGGGATCCTCATTCCAGGTCCAGTCTTTCATCCAGCCTTCTAAAACTCTACCTTTGAAGAGGGCGAAAAACACTGTCCCCAGTGTTATCGATTCTCATCTCCTAAACCTGGAATGAGTCATAAGGGCTTAAGAAGATTTCAAGAAATCTTCTACACGCTGGACAGGGTCCAGTCAAGTTCTGAACAATTCCATCATTCCCAGGTACTTGGTGACTTTGGACCCCACTGCCCCACTAGATCCAGACTGAAGGACAAACTGGGGGAGGGGTGGTCTGAGGCAGGGGGCAGAGAAAACAAGGGCGGGGGGAGTATATCTGGGCTCTCTCGGTTAAGTGGGGTCCAAAGAAGACGAAAAAGCCGAAAGGATTTGCGGCTCCGGGTTCTCAAGTGGGGGACGAGGAGGACTAGCCCAGCTACTGGAGGTGGGGAACAGGGGAACAGGAGGGCGTGGGGTGGAAGGGGAGTCTAGAATCCTCTGCCGGGCGGGAAGGAGGGGGGGAATGGGTGCGCTGGAGTCGGGAGGGGGGCTGGGGAGCTCACTCCCTGCAGAAGACGTACTCGGTGTAGCTGGTCCAGATCTTGTCCTCGCTCTGGTCTGCGCTGGCGAAGGCGCAGGTGCCCGTGGAACTGCACGCCACCATGTGGAAGCCCGACTCGGACAGCTTGTCGAAAGCCTGCTCCAGGAAGTTGAACTTGAGGTAATAGCGCGAGGTGTAGCGCTCGGGGGGCCGGTCGGGGTCCCGGCTCTCGTTCAGGGTGTCCCCGAACACCTCCTTGGCCAGCGAGGTCTTGCCGCACACGGTGATGCGCACCACGCGCCGGAACTTGGCGTCCGCCTGCGCGTCCCCCAATCGTG